CATGAGGTTTTTCACTGCCCAGTTGTCCAGTCTGTCCAGGTCCCTCTGGATGGCAGCGCAGCCCTCTGGGGTATCAGCTACTCCTCCCAGTTTGGTATCATCAGCAAACTTGCTGAGGGAGCACTCTGTGCCTTCATCCAGGTCATTGATGAATAAATTGAACAGGACTGGACCGAGGACTGACCCCTGGGGGACAGTGCTAGCCACAGGCCTCCAACTAGACTCTGCACCGCTGATCACCACCCTCTGAGCTCTGCCATCCAGCCAGTTCTTAATCCACCTCAGCGTCCACTCATCTATGCCACACTTCTAGATCTTGCCCGAGGGGATGGTTGTGAGGGACAGTGTCAGAAGCCTTGCTGAAGTCGAGATAGATGACATTCACCGTTTTCTCCTCATCTACCCGATCAGTCATAAATATCATCCCTTCAGTTGTGGGAGCAAGAAAATCAGTTGTGGAATTGAGAAAAAAATAAATAATAGGAGATTAGTGGGTCTAGAAGCTCTCCTAGGTCCTTCAGCATTTTTCCAGCAGGTCCAGGTTTCCACACAAGATGAATATTTCCAAGGACAAAACATGCCAAAACAAAAGAGCCAGACCATATATTTTAGGAAGACAGTGTTGGACTGTGATTCTCTATCAGGAAAAGCCAGAGGAAGCTCAATGCAAAGGGCCAATGTTGCTTTGTGAGAGTTACATCAATCCCTAAGAAACTGTTCTTGTGCAGCAGCTCCCACTGCAAGTCCTCGCACACTGAAGCTCAAGACTGTCTTCAAGGCCAACCATGTTATCTCCTGTAGGTGAGATGCAGAATACCGTTTATTCTGGATTTTCAGTGTTTTGCGCCAAAGGTGACACCCTGGGGGGAGGAAGGGGTGTTTGATGATATCTGATGGAAGCAACACCGTACTCTCCTTGCTGCATTTTAACTTGCACCGTACAGTTTCATAGCTCACCTCTTCTAGGCGTAGCAACCACCTTGGCTGTAGAAGGAAGACTCCCTGCAGCTGCCCACACTTGGGACTAATCCCAAAGCCCTTCCCGAAACTTGAACTCAGTCCTCACACAGCATGTGTTCACAGGCAGCAGGATGGTCCTCCATACCAGCCTGATCCGTGTGCTATACTTAATTTTGGCCGTGTTTCTTTCTTTATCACTTCCCCATTCACTCTGTGTATCCATTTGCTTTGACCCGGGACTGTTGGTTATGTAGTATGACAATTTCCTGCAAGACCCACTGCATCCATGCTGTCAGCCCTGATCCCTTGGTGGGTTGATTGCTTTGTGTGCAGAATACTGGCCAGGATCAGAAAAACGGATTGCCAATAAGTTAACACACACCTGATTGCTGAAGTGGGGCTTGAATCTGTGTCCTCTCCCAAAGGTTTGCTCTCGCAAAGCAGTATCTTCCCTACTTGCCCCAAAAAATGTTTTCCTGAAAAGGTTCACAGTTATTCAAGAGGACTTTTAGATTGGATTGAAGTCCTTTCATGGCCCTAGCAGCCTCAATAATGTCAAGTATTTTTCTTATATTTAAAACTTAAGTATTTTCAAGAGTTCATGAGTTAAGGTGTATTTTATCTAATCCATCCTAATATTCCTAAACCTGCTTTCCAGAGAGAGGCAGCATTCTTCACTGCTGAGGTGGGATTTGCATAGAGGATACCTACCTTTCATATGATTGTGGCTTTTTACGGGAGAGTTGGCTCTCAATAGTTTTGTACAGCCATCTTATAGCCCATAAAACATTTGGAGCTCTGTACAAGGTGCACATTCATTTGGGAATGGCTTGGAAATGCTTCCTGTTGGCCGTTGCATGGGATCCTGAAGCTCAGAGTCCCTTGAAAAGCAAGTGCTGCAGCCCAGCAGAGACAGACCCCCACGCACTCGCCTGTCCTTCCGCCTGTCCCAGCGGCTCACACTGGTGGCTGGAGTCTGTTGGCAGGACATGGCAAAGTCGCAGGGATGACTCGAGACAGCCACAGCAAGCAGAGATTGGGCCAACACGGAAGATAAGCCAGGCCGGCCCTGCCACTGCCCTGTGGCAGTTCTTGCTGTTCTTGCTCATCAGGACCTCTCCAACCCAGGTAATTGTGACCTCCGAGGCAGGTTCTGCTTTACAACTGATCATTCAAAGAAGCCTTGATAAATGTGCTTCTGCCAGAGGACAAGGAATATATTTCAAGCATGGTCATGCCATGCTGCAGGGCATAATCCTAGCTTCAGTGCTCATGTGCATGTTGCCAAATTACGTGTTACACATATTGTATATGACTAACCTTTTATGGACCTTCTCCCGCCATCATCACCGCTTCCTAATCCTTTGGGTATACGAGAATATCCTGATATAAAACCATCAAAGCTACTTTTGTATAAATGGAGTTGGAGGAGGCTAGTGGCTCAGTGGCTAATGCTATACTATAGTGGTTAACACTATATTTAAATACCTGAAAACAAGTAGCTTATCAAAGAAGTACCTAATGTACACAGTCACACAGTCACATTGGCTAGTCTCTGGCTGAAGGCTTTCTGTTAGTTTTATTTAATACGTCTAAAAGACTTTGCATTGCTGTCCCTACTACATACACAAGCCAGATTCCACAGTGGGCTCTACTTGGCTTGCAGGCCTATTTTCTGCAAGTTTTTCTTGTCATTCTTACAAAGGGTAAACAGACATGCATGTGCTTATATATTCTGAAGAGCATATTTCCTCATACTCTGCAAGAGATTTCTTTTAATACACTTCCATCATTTGCAATTGTGCCCTTGGAAGTTTTAGCAATATTTGTTTCAAATAAGTTTATTTTCATATGATTGATTGAAACCTCAAGCTGCAATTAAGAAAATTGCAGCAAGAACCATTAAAGGGATAGCGTCATTTTCTCCCTTTTCCTCTAAAATGTCAGGTTTCAATGTCACCGCATGATAACCCAACCGCGTGCTTGTACACCGCACACCCGGGCTGGAGTAAGCGTGAAGCCGCCTGGAGTACTAATTGCAAGTGACTAAAAATAATGATGTTCGGCAGAAGGAAAATGAGAGACCCCGCTCCTTATTACTTAACTGCGAGGTGTGTACGCGCAGTAACGCGGGTTATTGTGGAGCAGGCTTCTCTGTAAATACATAAACATCCATCCCCACTTGTAGATGGGCCTCGGGCCCTCCCCCAGCTCCCTCTGTCTCTCTGCCCTTTCTTTCTCTCCAATTATAAACCAGCACCAGGTTTTCTCATCAGCCATCTCCATGTCTCCAAATGGCTTTTCAGTGTCAGGCCTATCAGGAAATTAACTCATCACGCAGTGACAGCTGCTAATTTTTTCCCCTTACATGTCAGATGGATCGCCTGCTGAAGCTAATAATGAATCACCAATCCCTGATTAGAAGGTGCTTCCGAAACATATAACTGCCATCTGAGCTAACTTTTTTCTTCATATAAAATGATATCACCCTAGAGGAGTCGAAAACGAATTGTATTCTTCAACAAGATGGAACAGGGGTAGGCTGTTTAAGTGAGCCGTGTGCTATCTTAAATTATGGGCTAATATTGCTCAGTAAAATAAGTGAAAACTCCCAGCTCTTTTTTATTTCGCCAAATGAATGACCTTTTTTTTTTTTCTGTTACTTAATCCTCTCACTAGAACTAACTTTGTTTCAAATTTCAGGAGTGGTTTTCCTCTTCATCCTTTTCTCTTTGTTGTTCTGTTTGCTGCTTTCGTGCTCGGGAAAGCTACGGAGCAGGGACTGTTGGCAAAAAAGCACCAGGAGTTGTGCGCGGAGGCACACACGTGCAATGGTATGAGCTGCTTGTCCTGCTCCCCCAAGATCTTTAACTCCCCCTCTCGATGCCCATGACCTCCTGAGGGGCCCTGGCCTGTGTTTCAAGCTCAGGTTTGGTTCAGGGTTAGCGTAAGGTGTAAAAAACTTCAACATGCAGAGTTTCCTACACTGACTGCACCAGCTGAATCCACAAAGATCACAAATGCACTTCTTCCCAGGTGTCCCCGTTAACATTCCTGGTGTTAAAATAGCGCTTATAAGTGACAGCAGTGCTTGCAGCATCCTGCACAATTCCCATGGCATCCCCTGGCATCAGCTGTGGGCTCGGGCTCACCCAACTTCCGTGGTGAAGTGCAGGCAGAAGGGCACCTTGGTTGGGTTCTCTTCTGTGGAGGTGTTTTTGCTTTGGTTTGTTTTTGTTATAGAAAATGTTTCTCTAAATATGGTTTCCAGCTATCTCTCATATTCTGTTTCTCCCCAGAGATGCAGCCTGATTTCAGGGGCCTGAAGACCCTGGCCTCGGGAGCTGTGTATCTGAAACATCTCTTCTTCCTCAAGTTTATTTATTTATTTATATTTGTTTTTGATGATCTGTTTTGCTTTGTTTTCTCTGCACACTGGTTCCACGCTTCTTAAACATTTACGTTTTTACCTGGTTGGCATTGTTTGCAGCACAATTCAACCCGGGAATGCTTAATCACAGCGAACAACCATGAGGAAATTAACGCCAGGGGCTCTGGCAGCCAGACTGTCAGAAGGCAACTCCCTGACGTGGGAAGGCTGCACTTCGGACCCCCGCTTCCCTTGGAGCTTGGCACTCCCTTTGCCCGCAGACGAAGCCAGCGCCGCAGGAGGCTGCCCAGCCCCCTGGGCCTCCTCAAAAGCCCCCCCCCTCCCGCCGCGCGGCCTCTGCCGCAGGCACAGGGCGGTGGGAAGAGGTCGGCAGATCCGTGGGTCCATCCGTGCGCTCTCGGCCCAGCTCTGGGCACGGCGCAGAGCTGGGAGCCCAGGCCCGGCCTGAAGGCGGGTGCTGGGGACGAGTTGGAGAAACTTGGGCCGTGGTGGGCCCTGCGGCAGCCCCGGCTCGCGGTATCCCGGGGAGGGCACCAGTAAGTTAACTTTAAAGCACACATGAAAACGAAGGAAAAAAAATAGCCCTAGGAAAAAAAAAACCTGAGCAGACTGCGCTCAGAGATGTTATCGTTAACCTGAGCTTCCAGGTAACTACAGCGCACGGGAGGTTAGTGAATCCTTTCCAGCACTCCCAAGCATGGGAGCACCTTCCTTTTTTTTTTTTTTTTTATGCAAAGGTCTGCTCTTTTCATTGTGCATACAATGTGATTGCTGGTTTGACACTGCAGGCTACACTGGTTTTATGAAGGATTAAATGCCACCTGAGACATATTTATCCTAAATAAATCACAAATGGTAAACTGCAGCATGTCAGTGTCAACACCCTGTACTGCAGCAGAAAGGTTAGCCATACAGGGCTGCGCACGGCGAGGAATTAGCATCCCGGCTGCAAGACCACAGGGCTGCGCTTAACAGGAGAAATGATCAAGAAGAAATATTTCCACTGAAAAACATTCCGTTTTTTTGAACATCTGTGAGAGCCTTGCAGAGGGCCATCATTTTGTAAAGGTCACCTTTATCCTGATAACAAACGGGAGTTGATCCTGTCACTGTTTGCTGAAGACAGTGTTTAAGAGTAAGTGAACAGCCTGTCACTTTTAAGAAAGATGAGCAAGTCAAACTCGGCTAATTATGACTCCTGATGTCTAACTTGAAATTTACTTTTTTGGGGGTCTGACACAGACACAACCTTAATTCCCAGAAAATAATAATAAAAAAAATAAAGAGAGAAGAAAAGACAGCAGGATCTTTTAGCCTCAGAATGAAGCACCTTTTCTAAGCAGCTCTACCAGAAAATGCATTTTTAAACAGTTGCTTGAAGAAGGAACTACTGTTTCACCTCACCCCAACTTTCTTACTGTTGATAATTTAAAGATATTAAACATGATAGGAGCCGCAGTTATCTCCGGAGTCAGCATGGTTTATACCCTAAACACTTACACAGTTCCATTAAGCATGCATGAGGCACATCAGAAATTAGATTCTTTTATCTTTATCTATCTGGCTAGCTAGAGAAAGGCAAAGAGAAAAGAGAAAATGCACAGACATAACAGATAGCATTCGTTTGCTCCTGCCGCATTCTGTTTATTGCTCAATATTAAAAATCATGATGCTTCTTTTTAATGCTAACATTTTATTTGAAAGACCAAAAAAAAAAAAAAAACCCCAAATCTTGCGAGTTTATATTTACAATTTTTAAGAAACAAAAACAGTTGTATCATGAAACAAATGTTTTCAACATGAACTTGCATTGAACAATTGCAGTATATCCACAACTAAATAATTGACATTCTGGTCTAAGCAAGAAATACAAGGTCACCTTTTTTTTTTTCCTACTTGTTAATGTCAATGTCAGAATTTTCTTTGAAACCCCCCAATAACATTTCAAAAGTCGTTCAGAAAATGAACTGCAAAATGGTATTTATGTGAAGCGCTATTTATAAGAAAAGCAAAACACTGACAATGGCAATATTTTTTCCAAAAATGCACACTTCTTATGTAGGACTCTCACTTAAAATTAACTGGAAGTTACAGGCATCAAGTTTTTTTTTTTTCTGAATATGTATATCAAGAATTTTCTGAAGTGTAGCTTTTTTGAGCTCTTCTTGAGCATGAAAAGTCCTACATGAAGCCACGAGGGAATAAGCTACCATTAACAATTTGATTTTTAGATGTAAGGAATCCTTATTTTCCTAACGTATTTTTCAAAAGGGGTATTTTAAAGTATGATATCAGAAAGCAAAATGTCACTTGTTCTCCTCAGACCAAGGAAGGGCACTGGTTACAACATGTACGTTTACCTGATCGCCTTGTTATTGCGATGACATGGCTTTTGTATTTTTTGCTTATTTATCCGTTCATGAAATGTACGTATAAAGTGAAAGTGTTTCAGTCCTGTGATTATGTTAGACAGGAAAAAAAAAAAAAAGGCGTAAGGCAGGGAATCACCCCGAGGTAAAAAAAAAAAACCACTTAGAAAAAACAAGGAAACCAGTGAACAGAGCAATACCTATTTGGGGGGGATGTTTATCGTTTTTTGTGCCCTTATATGCTTGTTTCTGAGTAATCCCCTGTAGTAGGTGCCCGCAACGCGGTCGGTTGCGCGATGCCGCGCAGGCCGCAGGGCGCGCGCGGGGCCGCTCTCTCGGGCCCGTCAGAGCGGCACCGGCCTGCAGAACCGCCGGCGACTCGGCCGCCTCCAGCACGGAGTGCGAGTAGACGCCGGGCTCATGCTGCACCTCCGACGGCAGCTCCGTGACGATGTAGTGGGTCGTGCCGTCGGAGAAGCCGCCCTCGGGAGCCTGGGCCATGGCTTGAGCTACCATGTCCTCCGTGACAATAATCTGCGATATTTGCCCATCTGAATCAACTAAATCCATGTGCTCGCTCTGGATGCTGAGCGTGTGGCTAGCGGCTTCCTGCATAATGATCTGGGAGCCTTCTCTGGCTACCATGTGCACAGTGCCTTCCTCATTTACGATGACTTGAGTGACACCTTCCTTCATGAGCTGGTCGGCCGCGGCTGTATCGCACACAGCGAACTGGAGCACTCCTTGCACCATTTTCTTGAAGGCAGCCTGAGCTCTCTCCTGAGATGCAATTATAGCCGATGGGTGCACGACCTGCGTCACTACTTCCATGGGTTCGGCATCTTCCTGAGGCTCTTGAACTCCATGGAACATCTGTATTTCTTGTCCCTCGGAGTCACTGGGAACATTGGCCGTCTCTGGATTTGGCATTTGTAAGAAATCTTTGTGACTAGCCCTGCTTCTGTCAAGGAGTCCAGACTTGCTTTCCACCTCGCCCAGCTCCGTCACGGCACAGAGCAGGGCGTCCAGTGCTGAGGAGGCATCTGGAGGATGCCCCGCAGCCTCAGCTGCATCTAAAACCTCCTGCTTCATGATCTGCTGCAGCACGGCACTGCTGGCGTCAGGAACTGCCTCCATAGGAAGGGCCTGGTCCACCTCGGGCCCCGTCACGGTGCTCTCCACCACGACGACCTGTGTGGCGCCTTCTGCCAGCTGCTCGGAGAGGATCTGCCCTGGCGCCACGCCGCCCACGTGCGGGCCGCCCTGGTTCGTGGCGATGACCTGCCCGTCCTCAGTGATGTGCACCACCCGCGCCATCTGGCCGGCCATGGCCAGTGTCTGCAGGGTGGCTGCAGCCGTCTCCTCCACAGAGGCATCAATGGCAAAATCGCCGTCGTACCCCTGGATAATGATGACTTGCTGGACCTGCTCGGGTGATGGAGGCTGCCTTCTGCTGCCCCGAAAGACCTTCTCTTTGACAGGAGAAACCTCTCCCAGCGCGGCCGCAGTGAAAGGACTGGTAGTTTCCACAAAGGTCGCTCCTTGCCCCTTCAGTCGACATTCGTAGGACTTGGATACAATGCCTGCAAAATAAAATACGCTGTTAGCAGGGCATCATGGAAAGTAGCAGCTCATAACTCCTGCAACTTAAAAGGAAAAGTAATCCTTGACAATTTTCAGATTTCCCTGGTACAGAAAGGGCTTGGGAAGGCTGGGAAAGTCCTTGCTGCTGAGACCACCCCTACCCTGCCCATGCCCACATCCATACTTTAGTTCAGATTCAACTTGCCTCTACTTATACACATTTAAATCACACCTCTGGAATAACAGATGTCGTATCTTATCACTAAGACACATAGATACAGCACTGTTTGTCTAGGGTGAAGCAGTATTACTTTTATGGCCAAATTTCAGGCTAAGATTGTACTTTCCAAGCCTCCAAGGCACTTCTTGTGAACAGCAGGCACTGTACCTGACTCAAGAGGCCAAGAAAATTATTCCAAAGCTGCTCCAAGAGAGCTCTTTTATGTGAAGTATAGAGCTGTCAGACCCTCACACCCCAGAGAATTAAACTAGACTCTAAAAACCAGAAAGTCTCATTTGCTTAAAGGGAAGTTCACATTTGCAAGCTGTGTAACACTGAGACTGAGTACCTGGCACCTTGCAGGCTCCCGCAGCTTGGCAGGCCTAGGTGTGCACCAAGCTAAAATGCCACAATAAAATGAATCCTTAGAAGACTGGACTCTTGCTGGTCTCTTTAGTTATCTGCCTATTTATTTATCTTCTACTGCAAAGCTTCTGCTGGATAACTGCACTAGGAAGCATAAGAACTGATTTTGTTAAGCTGAAAGGCTGCATGTCATCTTTAGATGTCTAAACTGATGTTATGCAACTTTCTCCATCTTAGTTTGCAAGGCAGGTTATCTTTGGAAAAGAAAATTAACAATTTAAACCGCTAGAGTGTTTCCGAGAGATACTGCATGATAAATCTGGCACACGCGATTGAAGTACATTTTGTCAGGCATAAGCTCCACGGAAGCTGACTGTGGTATGAGTGGTTCTTACCCCACTTTTCCTGTGCTCTCTGTAGGCACTGACATTCACAAGACCCCCCAAAGAGCAGAAAAATAGGAAGAGGAAATCAACATAAAATGACAATTATCTTAGCTCCTCCACACTTTATAACAGAGCAGAAGTAATTAATTCTCTCAGGAATCTTGCTTTGTTGACATGATAAAAGAGGAGCCTGGCAGTGATGTGGCACAAAATCAAAATAACTCTGCAAATCATGCATTTTCCACGAGATTTCAAAATCAAAATAACTCTGCAATCATAATTTTCACTTGCACACTGCAAAATCATGGCATCTTTCTCATGTGATAACGATCATTTATATAGAGGATGCAGGATCACTGCATTTCAGAGAAGCGCTGGTCTGCAGAAGGGAGAGAAAAAAAATTCCCCCTGTTCTCGTGTCTTGGAATAAATGCCGTATGTGGGAATCTGTGCAACTCCAGCCTTTGCTCTGCAATCGAAAGGGAAGTCTCTTGGGTGAAGAGCTACCCAGTGAATCCCTTGCAGCACTGATAATTATGCCATTCTCACTGCTTGCTTAATCTATTTGAATCCAGAGGTGGGTTAAGCCACTTCCTGACCATTAAAGTAAACTACATGGGTAAATACTGCTGTCACTAAGGGGTGTGATGAAGCTTAACTACACCAGCATCTTAACCTCAGTTCAGTGCAACCCCAGCTATTCCATCACAGTTCATAAATGCGATTGCAGGTCCATCTTTTGATTCAGCAATTTAATAACTTCGAGTGCTGTCAGTACAGCTTTGAAAAATGGCTCCTATAAAATGTAACAGCCTCAATCAGATTGTAAAAGATTCACCCACTGAAGATTCTTCCATTTCAACTATAATGAATTAATGTTGAGCTATGTAGAAGTTCAAGTGTCATTTAAACTAATGTGAATCTACTGCAACTTTAAATTTTAACTGGACTATGACCAAGAATTTACTGGGAACATCAGCTTCAATTTTAGTGATTTTTCATGTAAATATGAATTGCAGATTTTACTGGTTTTCTTTTTGTTTTAACAGTGAAGAGCCAAGGAGGGAAGATATTTAGAAAACAACATATTTTGAGGCTTAGCTGCTATTATGACTTTGGAACAGTACATGTCTATAATGGCGCACTGCTATCCAACACAACATTTGTAGGAATTTCTATGTATTTAAGGAACATGTCACATTATTGGGCTGTATGTAGCAACAAATCATGTTTCCCTACTAAATTCAGGCTGCCTCTCACCCCCTCTTAAAAATGGGCAAAGAGAAGGGGTAAGTGTTGGCTGACATGGCATACACAAGCTGCAATACAAGCCCACATTAATATTGGGAAAACTGGACTTGTTGCTGACTGCATGTCATTGCAAATTAAGGAGATACACAAATAGGCATTAAAATGACAAAACATAATGATACGAGAACTCATATTCAGACAATTTGTAAAGAGGTGTTTCATATCTAGGGGTGCAATGATCACAGAACTGGTTTCTTTCCAAAAGTCTCTCATTTCAGCACAGCCATTATTTATCAGTTGGAGTCCGGAACGACTGTTACTTTTTTATTTGAAAATGTCAAGATTTTTCAGACATTAAATCCATATTCGCAGGTTATTTTAATTCTCGGAGACCACAAACTCCCGAAATAGGGCTAAAAGACATGCTTTGATGTTTAATGTGCTTCTGGGAAACTACAAATAGGGTTTAGTACCTCTTTCACTCTCTTTCGCTCAATACCTGACTTTCTTTTGTGCATCTGTTTTATTCTTTCGTTACTGTCACCATTTGCTCCCCACAGAATAAATACCTTATTCTTTTGTTAAGCTTACATTTAATTAAAATGTACAGGATTTGTGCAGTAAACTCGAATGAAACAAATAAAACAAGGGCCCCCTCTCTTGAAGGCATACGTTGTGAATGAAAAATGTCATTACAGACTAAAAAATTTTGCAGTAAACAGGGCCTACAGAGAGAAGTTTCCCCCGTAATGACATCCATAAAATACACAAATGGCACTTTTAGTACCATCCTGAATATGGCATTTTCTGTGCTCTACACACAATCTAAATGGTTTGATCATAGAGCATAATACTCCATTGGGTTTATAGAACAATCAATGTTCCATAAAATGATGTATTTATCCAATAGTAGGCTCAGCAGTTACTGGTGTATGACATTGTAGGACACTGGCTTTGTACTGTTCAGCAGCACACATGCTGGCTGTAAAACTTATCTAACACTACTTCAACAACTTCATCTCATCTGTGTCAAGTAATTTGTTGAAGCCTCAGCTCGGTTTAAAAAAACTTGTAATAAAAATTCATAGAATTTTCAGGAGAATGAAAGCGGGTGACAATGGAAAGGTCACATTGTGTCTCCACGCGAGGGGTCAGGGGCCACCGGCGGTTCTAAAACAGCGAGTAGATTTCATGCATCGCGTAGCAGGTAAAGACGGCCCTGAAGGGACGCGGCTCCGAGCGAGGCGCCGCGACCCCGCTCCTCGTGCCGCAGGCACCGCGCTGGCCGCCGCGGGGCGTCGCGTGGGCGCCGCAAGGGCAAACCCGGCACTTGAGAGCTCCCCCCTGGCTCGCGGAACAGCAACACCTACTGCTTCATACTTCAGTCTTTAGGGACATTATTGATTGACAAATACTAATATCTGATATCTTCTAAGATGCAACTATTATTAGATAAGGCAAATACAAAGAAGGACTTTTTGATGAAATTCAGTACAACCTCCAAGGAATTTAAATGACATATATAATTACACTTATATTGGCCACATTAACAGTCAAGACAAACTGTTCCCATCAAACGAACTAGCAAGTGAGTCTTGTATTTTGAAAGCTGCTTACTGACAGGACAATATTTTGAATAGTACAATAAATAACTCCACTGCTCAGATTCATAAAGGCATAATTCAGGCCCTGAGGAAGTGCTAGAATTCTGCATTTCATTTTTCCTTCTTTGCTGACCACCACTTCCATTAATTAAGTGCAGCCTAAGAATTGGTGCCTAATGTCATCACCTTGGAATTTTCCTTGATTTTGGGACACCACAGTAATATACCCCCCTTTTCAGATATTCATCTCAGCTCTTTAACGAGGAACTCTCCTTCTTGCAAGGTTTTTATCTAGAAGCAGTGCATGGGCCAACATTTTCAAGACCAGCCAGTTAGGCTAGTAAAGAAAAGCGGTTGAGAAGGCTTGTTCTTGTCTTCTACTGACGGAGAGAAAATAGGATGAATCGCTGGTTAGAAACCAGAATGGATAGAAGAAGTAAAATAAATCAGCAAATCAGAACGACTCTGTCAGAAGTGTTACGTCCACAAAGAAGTTTGTAAAGCAGTGCTAGTAAGCAAACATACAGGGCAACTAACAGTTCTCTAAGAGACCTAAAAGAAACTCATCATTGACACCAGATATTTAAATCTAAAGATATCAGTACAATAACCATTTTTTTTCGCCGATACTATTACTGTAAAAAAAAATTAAGAAAAATAATTTCCAAATAATGTTGATTGTTCATTTTATACTTAAAAATCCAGTAATATCAGATCTAAGGCTCGAAATCAAAATATCCTTGGCTTCTAGCTTTGTCCTTAACCAGTCCATCATGTTTAGAAACTTCAAGGTCTTCTAAGAACTGCTTGACAAAAGCATGAAGTTTTAATCTTCCAGTAGCTTACACAAAGAAGGAAATGTCCTTCTAGCTTCCTTAATATGTAAATGGCAGTATTTATGTATTTCTTTTTTCTTTTGAAAACCAGACTAAAATTTCCTGCTTGTTACTTTTACCTCTCATAGCTTGGAGGACTATTTCAACAGCAACAATAAATAAACAAGCAAAAAAAAATCACCAAAATAAACAGCAGAGCAATTCGGTTCAGGTTTTTAGGCAGTTTGGTTTGGTTCAGTTTCCCTCCAGTGCCTAATTAACCTTTAGGAAAAGGATTTCTTTGAGAAAAAAATCAGGTTTTCTTTGCCTGCACTCAAGGTCAAAAGTAATACTCCA